GCACACAGGCAGAGCTGGGGCAGGGCAAGTGGTCTCTGACAGAGCTTGTTGCCCCACAGAAATTCTCTCACAGCTCACGGCCCCTGGGGAATCATCGCTCAAGGTGTAGCAACTCTCACAGTCAATCCAGAGACTTAGACCACCTTTCCACAGCTCTGCGATCGGTGCCCCAATTCTACCAGAACCCTCCTAAACACAGCATCCCACTCAATACATGTGCAGGAACCACCCTTCCCCAGCCAAGCATCCGGAACACCGGTTTACAGTTCCCATTGGCTGCCATGGCAGAGAGTGGGCCCAGGGGATGTTCCTGCTTGTTGTTTCACAGGGGTCCTCTGGAGGTTGCAGGCATGTAGATGTGTGCAGCACCATTGCCACGCTTTTCCACAGACTGTGTCCTGGGACTGCTGATCCTGGGACCAAGAGTACGGATGTCCTTGGACATCTGTTGATGTCCCTGAATGTCTGTGAATAAGCAGTGGGCTTGGTGGAGTGCTCTCCCCTCCCCAACAATCTGTTTAAGGTCTCTGTGGTAGGGGCACACGCACTGTGCCACCTCTGAAGCATGGCTGTCCCACCTCTTCAAGAAGATGGTCTTGATGAAATGTATGCAGCACCACTTGCCAGTCCTCTCCCACTTGGCAGCAGGCTTGACATTAGTGACAGGGTGGTGCATCTGCTGCAGAAGCTTTTGCAGCAGTAGGAAAAGGAAGAAACAAAAATGAAGAAGAGTAATAGAAGAATGAAGAGGCTGATCAAGGGGCAGGGGAAAGCAGCAAGGAGTACGTTCCTTAGTAGTCTTGGAAAAATGACACAGTGGAGAAGCTGAAGTGCGTAAGGTGACTTGCTGCCTTTGGTTTAGGGAATGCGTATGTGACATGGTTCTTTTTACACCATGAGATGCACTTCAGGATGTTTCAGGAGCTCTTTGTATTTGAAGAAACCTTTTGTGTTTAGCTTGCCTTGAAGGACTTGACAGTGGTGAGACCCAGTCATTGTTCAACCCAGGAAGGTTTGAAATTCCTCTTTTGAGTATTTGGAGTGGTATTTCTGTTTTAGTATCTTCTAAGAAGAATTCTTTTGGCATGGACCAAAACTGCTTTTTTGTAATTACTGGGGACAGCCAGGTGATTTACTTCAGAACTGCAGCACTTCTCCAAACCTGAACTGCTAATACAGATGTAGTATTTGTTTGGTGGCGGGGTAAAAATAAAACCATAGTCACTGGGGGCTTGCATTTGATAGAAGTGTAATTTAAGCCCAGATCTTCAAAGCTGAAAGCTTACTTGAGTTTCTTATTATATCACTTGGTCTCAAGTGATTTTATTACTGAAGTGTCAAATACATTAAAGTGATAGAGCAATCTTAAACTTGAAGAAAAGCGGAGAAATAGCATGCTGGTAGGAAAATAGCAACTGTAAAATCTTGAGTGATAAAGTATGCTGTCTTAATGTAAACCATAAATGACAACACCCTGTAACAAAGTGGAAGGTTTCATGGCTTTTAACAGTTTAATGAAATGTCACTACTTCCCCTCCCCGTTTCTAGGAGTGATTGCTTGGATGTTTCAGGGTCTCCACATCAACTTTAATGGCAATGTAAACCTGCTTTATGATGTTCCCTAGTCTTTCAAATAGGTGCAGATAGAGACAGTGTTCTATTATATATTACATAGTCCAAGTGCTCCCTGGCTGTCAGAAGGATGAGGGAAAGGGCACAAGGAAAATCACAGATAACCATGTATTGTATTGGGTTGTTGTCTTCGGTGACATTAAACTCTCTAGGGTGGGGAGGTTAAGTGCAGGCAAGTGATTACTGGGTTTCTGTGGAAGACATGTGGTTCCTGTCTGCAGCATACTACATATATTCTGCTTTAAGTTCAACTTACCAATGATGATAGGTTTCAATAAAAATGACCTAAGTACATGCAGATCTCTTCACTGTCTCCCTCCTACAGCCAGGTACCAAGTACCAAAGTTATATAGCTTGTATACAGGCACTGGGTGTCTTCTATTACAAAATTACTAATTATGATCTTTAAATGATGCCTTTTTCCTTTAGCAGGCAAACATTGCCTGTTTCATCATCATTAATAATTATCAAATAATAATAATAATGAATAATAATGGTCATCCATTGTGTTTAACTACTTATTGCCTACTATCCACACTTACACTGAATATAAAATTACTCATTAAATATTGTTTCCATTGCTTCTGGCCTTTTTGTCAACGCTTTGCTTGAGAGTCTCACAAGCAGCAAAGATAAGGATTAGTTTTCTCAATTCTTTGAGATAAGGTGGTATTAGCTCTGTGTTACAATGAGTTTGCAGATTTTAATGTTTTCACAGTAGGAAGTATAGAAAAGGAATTTACCTTTGGAAATAGAATTGTTACCCTTGCTGACATTTACATTCACCAATTCTATCTAGAAAGGACTGTAAATGCTGGTGGTATGGCAATAAATTCTACTTTGTACATGTCCAGGCCTTGTTGATTTTTGTTGGGTTTTGATAGCGTATGTCAGTTTCATAGAGTATTGATAGGTATTAATAGATCTAGAATTAAAGATAATTTCTTATGATAATCAGTAACATTTGATATAAGAGGTCTGTTACAAATAAATCATATACATACCCTAGTCTGTGTGAGTTTTCAGCTTGGTATGGTGATGACTTTGCCTTACAAACATATTGTCTCTTGCGGCTGAAAATAACAGCGGGGATTTATGTGATGTTTATAAAAAATGGAAGCTATTCTGTTATCTTCTGATGCAAGCATGCCTGCTTGGGACTTCTATATCTCCATTTTCTTAAATCCTCAGGCAGAAGTGTAGAAATATGCCTAGTTTGATTGTGGATGAGCTGTGTGTTTAATGGAAACACAGGTCAGATGCCTCTGGAGCTTCTACATGTTCCTGTCTCAGGTTGCTGAAAGTTTGAACCTGTGTTCCTACTGAAGAGAGAAGCAGTGAGTAATGCTATATTATCCTCTTCAGTACATGTATCAGGTAGGCTTCTAGGATTGGATGTAATTGCCCCAAGTTTTTTTGAATATGACTGTAAAAGAAAGAGCCTAATGCCTACAAATCTTGGAAAGTAACAGTGGTACTAGAATTTAAAATAATAAACTGAAATAAGGTAACTCTTTAAATGGAGAAAACTCGAATTTGATGAATAATATAAGTGAAAGTAAAACATTTCAAAGAAAATCTACCCTCCTGAGTAGCTCATCCTTGAAAAAGAGAGTACTTCCCTCCTGTCCTGCTTGCACAATGTGCATTATTGGCCTAAGCTGCTCCCATTGCTTGCATTATTTGCTGGATCACTGAAAACATCTCTTCATGCTTCAGAAACTTGGGTATTTTCTATTCTATAGGCAACATCCTCCTGCTGCTCTCACGAGTTTGTCTCCCCTTTCCTTTCTCTTCAGACTGGTAGTGCCTGAAGGAAAGAGTCTTTCATGAGACTAAATTTTACTTGAAACCTTATCTATGTGATATAATAAATAAATAAGGGATAATGCTGTATAGGTAAGATGTGAGGAATTCATAAATTACTAGATTTGTATTACACTGATAGTGAAAGAAATTAGAATGTTTAAAACTCTTACGTTTATTGTAGTATTGTCTAGTGAATGGCAACCTCTTAAAGAAGAGTTTTACTTCTCTAGGGAAGAAGAGCTTCCCTGTAAGACAGAGCAACTCCTTTGTTCTGAACTTAGATTTATATGTCTTCAGGTATCCCAAGAACTTCCTAGAGAATTTAACTTTTTAGTCTTATCCCTAAATTAAAACCGTTGCAAGCAAAACTGCTCTTGTTACATCTGACTGATGTGTAACCATGCTTATGGAGTATTCCAGTTTACAGCTTCCTGGGTTCTACTTCCATCCTGTTTCCTACTAGCTTATTAGTCTACTTTGTTTCTTCTTAGCCTACAGTTTTTCCTGTTAACCTATTAGCCTATGTTTTGCACACAGTTACATGCAGTTTTACCTCTGTTACTTATACACCTCTACGCACTGATGTCTAATTGAAAAATTTAAAGGCAGTGAGCAGGTTTCGATAATGAGTGTTACACAACTGTCAGCCTCTGGAATTCGAGAAACTTCTGACAGCTGAGTTCATTCAATTGCTCTTGGGGAATTAGTAATTTGCTTTTCCTTCAGAAGATGCCACATTTCCATGCCACAAGAAGCAGGTCAGGACATGTGCACGGTGCTTGTCGCAGGCTCTCATGCTTACTCTTAACAGAACTTAATATGTGGTAACTTGTCTGCTCTGGTGTACTAATGAAATATTCAATACTACTTTTGTGACAGAATACTATCACTGGCAAGGTAATAAATATTTTCTCATGGTGATACAGATGGCTGACATGGCTACTGATCTATCACATTTCTTGAGTTCCAGTCCTTTGCTGGCATGCACAGTCTGTCTGCAGGCTTCTGCATCCCAAAAATGAAAATCTGAAAGTGAGAGGAAAAATGATTTCTTAAGTCTAAATGTATTTCTCTGAATTTGTGTTTACATTTGGTTCAGGGGATAAGATTTATTGTCTTGAGTTCTGAGAAGTTGGCAACACTGTAGTAGAGAAAATATTACTACATGCTGATTTGTGTTTTGAACTTAGCTAGTTAGGACAGAAATTGCATTACAACATGCCCTGTTTACATCCATTCTTAAAAGCTAATATTGAGAAATATAAGCAGTTATCTGGATAAAAGAAAGAAAAGTTAGACTGTCATTTAAAATTTTGCAAAACATTGTTATTGATTTTTTGCTCTAATCTAAAATAATTAGCTTCAGTCCAGTCTCATTTTACAAAAAAAAGAGATGTATTACAGTGTTTGTTGCAAAAAGGAAATTGCCCTCAATTTATTGAATCTGGATTGCATTGTTCATCTACTTTCTGTATCATACTGGCTTGCGTCCTTAATGTCCTGCATCTATTGACTGTATGAAAAACTTTTAATATGTTGTGAATGTTTTGTCAATACAGGTCTCCAAGTTAGCTGATGTCATGGTCAGACATGGTGTGAAGAAAGGAGATCGTGTGGTCATCTACATGCCCATGATTCCACAGACAGTGTACTGTATGCTGGCTTGTGCAAGAATAGGAGCCATCCATAGCCTGATTTTTGGTGGATTTGCATCTAAAGAGCTTTCTGTTCGCATTGATCATGCAAAGGTAATACGTATTTGGAACAACAAACACCATTGCATTAGCTATTCAGATAAATCAATGTCAAAACCCCTTTTTTTCCAGAAAGGGCAACATTTCTCTTTCTGTGGCACGCAGTCTCAATTTGTTTATAATACCTAACATTGAAATGAGAACAAAGTACTACATCTGTGCTGACGGTGATACTTTTATAGCAGACATTGAGATACAAATTTTGACCTCTCTTAAAAAAGCATGTGTTTAACATGCTGCTGTCTTTTTAGAGCATACTTTCTTCTGCCATTTGTCAATCTTTGTCTACAAAGTATCACCTTAAAATTGGCTTTTCACCCAGCATTTTGCTCAAGTGTATGAGGAAAATGCTGCCAACCATAAATGACTTCATTGGTTTACTTGATGTTTATACATACTAGGTAGTACGTTTTTCAGCTATATAGCTACTTCATCTAATTTGTATATGAATCAAGGCAACTAGGGAACCAGTTGTCGTAAGTAAGTGACTCTGCAGAGAACATAGTTAATAGAGGTGAATGCTTTAAAGGCTTCCATGTTTGGCACAAGTTGAACTTGTTCATGAAGCATTCATTATGTAAGTCTTTGTAAGTGAAAATGGAAATAGTACTTTAATAACCTACTTAGTAGCTTATATGTGTATATTAGTAGCTTGTGTATGCATTAGTTTCAAACCAGCTAACGATGTTTATACTGGAAGTTTCTGTTCTTGTTTTCTACCAGTGAACAAGACAAAAGCCTTTGTCATCTTGATCAGTCACCTGGATCATTCAGACCATCTGTGGTAGCCATCTATCACTGAATCATGTTGGTTAGGCATATAATCCAAAACATTATGCAGGGTAAAGGTCACAGGATTTCTGGAACTTTTACTTTTTGTATACAGAAGTGTACAGGTTTTTGTGTACAGAAGTGCTTTTCAGATCCCAAAAGCCTGAATTTTACAGGTATTTGTAAATAGGAAGTTTAATGCATTCCCCCTCCTCCCTCTTGACGTTTTAACAAAGCAGAAGTTAATAAAACAGCTGAAATGGTTTGTTGGAATTGTGAAAAAGAGCTGGGAGAAGACTAACGACAGCTCCATAGTTTTCCCTGTCTGTCTTCCCGCTCCCTCACTATTTCAATGAGCTGTAAAAATTAATTTTAACTCATAGAAGTTTTTGATTAGGGAAAAATAATGTAGAAGAAAAAATGATAGGCTTTTAAAATAGAAGTTGCTACAATATGAATCATCTAGCGTGTGTACTTTTACAGTATTTTGCAAATATTAACTAATTAATCCCAATGGACTTTCTCTGAGGAACAAAGGGAGACAGCACAGACGTAATCCTTTCTTCATGCATTAAAAAGAAAACAGAGAAAGTTTAAGTGATTTACCCAAGGTCATACAGCAAGTCTTTTGCAAGGTTAGCTATAGAATTACTAGCTGCACGCCATGGATTAAATCCTAATTTACATTGCCTTTTCCTTTTTTCTTTAAAAGGCACATCTAAATATTTTGGATGATTTTTGGTCTGTCTGATGTGTAATGAAGGTGTAAGTAGAGAGGAGAGGCATATCCTCAATCTAAATTTAAAAAAATGCCCCAATTTTGCAATACTGTAAAGCTTTCTTGATAAGGGAATTGCACACTACTGAGATTATCTTTAAGATATGTATATAAGTAGCTGTGATAGATGGTATTCTGCTGAACTCAGAAGTTAATTGAAGCAGTCTCAAAAACCCCTAACCTTTCTATTAGGCTTTTATGTGAATTGGTTTAGATGCTGCAGTACAGGACCTAATGTTGGTAAGATTCATTAGAAGGAGTTAAAGATGTGGAATGGAAAGCAGGCTGTGAGATGCTCTTGTGGAAGAAAGGTCAAACTTCACATTTTATTGGAAGATCTAAGTGAAAGAAATAACAAGCACTTTCTAGTGACTATGAAAAGGTACATATACTTTACCAGCTTACCTTATCTTATCTTGAATTTTAAATAGGTCTGGGAATTCTGCAAAGTCCTGCAGTGGATAATTTTTACTCTTGTCAGGTATTGGCAGTTACAGACATTCTGCAGTGGATTGTGATGAAGTGATACAGAGTGTGAGAACAGGCATTTCTTGTCATCTTTCTTTTCACCTGAATCTGGGAATATATAGTTTGGAATATTGAAACAATAGATACTTCTGAAGGACATTAACTATATTTTGAGAAATTAACATGACATCTGTTTAAGCACTTTATCTTTGCAAGCTAGGAAAACTGAGGATACTTAAGAACAATATGCTTATATGCCTATTTGATAGGGTAGTTGCTATACCTTCAACAACCAAATTTTCTCATGTTTTTTGAATCACAATAATTACATAGCAATTCCAGAGGGCTTTTTAGATTTTAAGTCCAAACCCTGCAAAATAAAATGTAAATAATGGAGTTTTTCAGATGTGATTTTTGAAAATGCTTCACTAAAGCAGTATTATGATTTGCAAGTGAACAACAGTTCTTTGAAATACGAAAGATACGAGATGCCCGAGTTATTCAAAACTATCTGTTACTACCTTCCATTCAAGAAATACTGCATTCCTCACTTATGTACAGTTGACACATTTGGAGATTTTAATAAGGTTTCCTTGAAAAAATGAGCTAATATTTTGTAACTGAATAAGACGTTGTTCTTGTGCACAGGTGTGGCTATGAATGGTTACCCCTACTCATCATAAGGTGGTCCAACCTTTGGAGTGATTAGGCAGCAAGCTCAGCTGCTGATACATAAGATGTACAGTTGCCTTGTAATAGTTGCAGTCCTGTCTTGTCTTCTCTTTGAAGCACTCTTTATTTTTGGAATATGTATTGTAGATTAGAAGGTAGTGTCTTGCTTTTTATTTTTAACTACTTGTATGGTATGATTCAGGTCTCTTTCTTTAGAGCATTGTATAATATCTGGCAGAACTAAATGTGCATGGCAATCTGACATGGATCATCTAACCACAAAGCCAGAGTGGTGCCAGCAGGTGCAGCAGAAATATATAATGACTGCATAAGGACTGGATTTCTTTAAAATGCGTGAACTTTTTTTTGAGGAGGAGGGAGGCACAACAAAAGTGCAGTAAGTTTGAGCACAGGCTTGTGATCAGATGAGTGGTGGTGGCACAAAGAGAAAAGACCTTTGTGTGTTGAAGAGTGAGGGCCTGAGTGCTGGATCTCTCTGTAAACCTTTTCATGATACTCCTGACATTTTGTGCCCCAAAGGTAGTCGGTTTTCAGTTTGGGCTTTTTGCAGCTTTATTAGTTGGCTCAATAAAAATTATGTATTGGTTATTCTAAACTTTGCCTTGTATGCTGTTAGAGACTATAGAAGAATTTGAAGGAGGTGTCTTTACAACAGAATAAAATTATTGGTCTGGTATCAGGCCTTGCTTTATCTCATTTCTACTTCTTCATATTGTTTTTTTTTTTTTTTCCTACAGCTCACTATCACTGGCATTCCTTCACCAGCAAACCTTTGCACTTTCCTGGTTTTCCTTCAAGCTAGTTATATTTCTATCTAATCTTACTGTGCAGGACTACATGGAGCCACAGAAGAGGTGGGAAATGGGTATATAAAAGCAATATGGGAACAGAGATGCAGGGAAAGTAATGTCAGTAGGCAGGGAGGTAAACCACTAGAAAACAGCAGTTAAAGCTGGTAATGGAGCTTTGATTTGCACAGAGTGATCCATAATGCTTCCAAGTAGTAACCCTCACTTGGGAAATATGTCACCTTAGCCAATTTAGTATTGGTTATTTTTAGACTTCCTTACTGCATACAAAGTAGTTGATGAGCAGAGGCAGCACTATTTAGAAATGACTGTAAACCTGGCATTGACAACAGTCTTTCATCTTAACAATTGCATAGAACTGTGTTAATATCTCACATTAATTACAGTCTAATTTCAGGGTAGCCTCCAGATGAATTTTCAGTTTAACTGCATCATATTGTGTCATCTTTTATTAAAATCAGTGCATCCCAAAAGAGAAAGATGACAAATGCTGAAATTTTAAAGCTCATCTGAAATCTTTATTTTGAATACAAACTAATTAGCAGACTTCCCTGAATGGCAGATTTGGGCAGGAAACATTTTATTATTGCAGAAGAAAACAGTTTAATCTGTGCTTTCTGTGCTGAGTTTAATGCAGCCTTAACTGTGGCATTGTGGTTTGTGCCTACTTAATGTAATTTCTGCTAATGCATACAATTAGTAAACTAGTTTGATCAAACTGAGGGGCATAAGATAAATATACCTGTAAAACTCCAAAATCAAGGAGATTGAAGACTCGTTCTTCTCCAATTAAAATGTGTTCTGACACATAGTTTCTTTGGTGCTTCCTTTTATTTCCTGAAATACAAGAAATAAAAATACTGATCTTGGGACCTAAGTGAAAATAGTTTGTATGCAGATTTCTTGACTTAGGAAATCTTACCTAAAACCTGAGGTTAATTTAATGACAAAGATGCTAAATCCACATTTGGAAATAGAAATTATTCTTAAAAAAACCCCATAACTACAGAAATCTGATTTTTAGTGGTTTTGCATCCTGAATCCTGCAGCCATCACTTGAAAGACTCTAGCTTTACTTCCCTTGTGTGCCTTATGACTTCTCTTCCTGTGTTCCTAGTTTCCTGTCATTTCGTTTGCCTTATTTTTCCTCTTTCCCCTATTTTCCCTCCCATTCCATTTAATTGCAGGCTGGAAAAGAGCCAGCAAAGTGCTATAGCTAGTTTTGAAATATGTCATTGCATGCAGGCAGATAACTAGAAGGCAGGCTAACCAGGACAAATAATTGTTGTCATCGCTGTACCACTTTTCCTTAATGGAGGGGCTAAGATGGAGATGGGTTTTTCTCTCTGTTCATTAATTTTTGTGCAACTTACAGGAACTTAATGCTGTTGATTTCTTACTCAAATTTGGTTGAAAATGGTGAAGAGTGTCAGAAGTTGTTGGTGTGCTCCTGAACAAAAACCAGACACATGAACAGCAAGATCACACAAGCTTGATTTCCTTAGAAAACTCATCTAAACCCCTGTTTCTAATTATGTGAAGATAGATTTCATATAGTGAGTGTCATTAATCAAAGAATTTCATGGAAAACATGTTATTAGGTTACATATATAAAATACATTGCAAATGTATATATTAACAATCTAACTTCTTTATTTTAGCCCAAACTTATTGTAACAGCAAGTTTTGGAGTAGAACCGAAAAGGAAAGTGGAATACATATCCCTCCTAGAAGGAGCACTGGCAAGGGTACAGAGCAAACCTGATAAAGTTCTCATTTACAAGCGACCTAATTTGGTGGGTGTACAGCTGTTGTGCCTTTATGTTAATCTGTATGTAATGCACGTGCCTTTTCTCTTTTACAAGTAAAATTTTTGGTGTATCTGTTTGTAGTTTGTTTTTTAATTTTATGGGGGAACTTTATATTCATAAGGTTTAAATAGTAAATAGAACTAATGCAGCAGAGAGATTACTGTACAGAAATTGAATAGTACCATACAGAAAATTCAACAGTTCATTTTTTTTGACCCACTTCTATTTATTCCATCTGTTTTTCTTTTGACACTTTTCTATTTTTCAATGGGCAGGGCCACGTTCCTCTTGCCCCAGGTCGCGATCTTGACTGGGAAGAAGAGCTTGCAAAAGCACAGTGTTATAAATGTGTCCCCGTGCCCGCAGACCATCCACTTTATATTCTGTATACATCTGGAACAACAGGCTTGCCCAAGGTAAAGGACTATCTGTAGTCTAAGTGTCTGTGACCAACCTACTTGCAGTTCCACTTGAGAAAGTATTTAATTAAAAAGGTTGAAAATGTTTGCCAGTGCTCAGTGCTATAAATGATAAGCATTACTAGAAATGGTTTAATCTCATTTATTCACATTTCACTACCTTAAAGTCAGTGTCTAGGAATAAATCACGTTTGTTTATTTAAATAGTAATAATATAAACTGTTTTTACTTCAAAATGTTTGTATAGTATTAACTTTTGAGGACAGCAGAATGTCTTTTATCCATTAATGTCTTCTGTGTTTTAACGGAGATAAGCGTAGTATATTCACTTAATCATAGAATCATAGAATTGTTTAGGTTGGAAAAGACCTTTAAGATCATCCAGTCCAACCATTAACCTAACATTACCAAGTCCACCACTAAACCAGTTAAGGGTAGAGTAGCAATTTCATGTTTCCTGGCTTGGTGGCTGACAAGATTAGTTAATGTATCACTTGTGTGATAGCCTTTATTGCTGAATAGTCTTTGCTTATTCATTATTTACGTATTAGCTAATCTTCCCATAGATAAAATGTAATGAATGACATTACAGATTAAATGGAAGTAAGCATGTTCTGAAGGCTTGTGTTACTGAACAGTTCTGAGAACATAATTCCCATGAAAATGAAAGTTTAGATTGAGTAAGTAAAAACTGACATATAATCACAGAATCGTTTATGTTGGAAAAGACCTTTAAGATCAAATCCAACTGTTAACCTAGCACTGCCAAGTCCACCACTAAACCATGTCCCTAAGCACGACATCTACACGTCTTTTAAATACCTCCAGGGATGGTTACTCAACCACTTCCCCGGGCAGCCTGTTCCAATACTTGACAACCTTTTCAGTGAAGAAATTTTTCCTAAAATCCAATCTAAACCTCCCCTGGTGCAACTTGAGGCCATTTCCTCTTGTCCTATCACTTGTTACTTGGGAGAAGAGACCGACACCCACCTCACTACAACCTCCTTTCAGGTCATTGTAGAGAGCGATAAGGTCTCCACTGAGCCTTCTTTTCTCCAGGCTAAACAACCCCAGTTGTTCCCTCAGCCGCTCCTCATAAGGCCTGTGCTCCAGACCCTTCACCAGCTTTGTTGCCCGTCTCTGAACACGCTCCAGCACCTCAATGCCTTTCTTGTATTGAGGGGCCCAAAACTGGACACAGTATTCCAGGTGCGGCCTCACCAGCACCGAGTACAGGGGCACAATCACCTCCCTGCTCCTGCTGGCCACACTATTCCTGATACAAGCCAGGATGCTGTTGGTCTTCTTGGCCACCTGGGCACACTGCTGGCTCATGTTCAGCTGGCTGTCGACCAACACCCCCAGGTCCTTTTCGGCCAGGCAGCTTTCCAGCCACTCCTCCCCAAGCCTGTAGCATTGCATGGGGTTGTTGTGACCCAAGTGCAGGACCTGGCACCTGGCCTTGTTAAACCTCATACAGTTGGCCTCAGCCCACATTGGGCGTTCTTTGAAAATGTTTGCTTTCAAATGTCAAGTAGTCTTAATGATCTATTTTTAAAAGATCTTATTTTAAAAGCAAACTCTTGAGTGTTTGCTTGGTACTTACAATTCTCTTTTAAAGCGTAGAAGACAAGCTGAGTATAATTTTCTGGTGGTGGTTTTACCACCACAAATTCAGAGACGGTATCACACGTCCCTGGATATGGCAGTGCTTAGACTATTACTGGAAAATTATTTAATAAAGTGGCCTATAAAGTTCAGAATCTATGGAGAGGTAAGGGAAAACAAACATTAGTTTTGCTGAGAAAAATGTTTTCTGCTCTTGCCTTGAACATGGGCACTTTAAAGCAACATGTATCTTGAATCATTTAATTATATTGTCAAAAGGTCCAAGATAAGATCCTTTGTTAGAACAGCTATTTTCCTTGACTGTTAGTTTCAAAATATAGTACCTCAGAGACAAAAGTTCTCAGAATTTTACTTCACTGTCTTGGCTCTCCAGAGAAAAATACAGACACCCTGAATGAATCACCCTTATAAGAGGGAGAGTGTCAACTAGCACTAGCTACAATGAGTAACTTAATGAATGAAATAACTTTTTTATTCATTTATGGAACTTGCTTTTAAATGGTCATGGAAGTAAAATTACTCAGTTATGAGTAATTAATAAAACTTTTGTTAATCTCAGAGGAGGGTCTAAGTTAGAAGCTGAGACTAACAAAGGCAATCTACTTTCTGAAATTTGTGAGGTGTTAATTAACCATTCTCTGCTATGGCAGTCTCCATTTTAATGAGTTAATATGTTTCTACAGTCCCTCCTTTCTTGGACAAAGCCTGAAAGTGCCTGTTTCATTCTATTAACCACATCAAGAGAATGTACCGTGCCTAGCACAGACGGGTAGTTGCATTGTAATGTCTGCACTGTAGACATTTGGTCAGATGAATCTCACCTGAATTTTAGTTCAGGACATCAGGACATAGTTTATTTAATTATTTCTTCTAGAAACAGTGTACTATCAGATGATGAAATGTGTATTAAGCATACAAATATTACAAAATATTTCAAAATTTTTCTTATTGACAGTGTTCCAGAGCTGGTTTTTGGCTTACCAAGGTGCATGGTGCTATTGATACTCTCTTGTTCTAATTTTCAAATCCCTCTTTAAGAGTAAGACTGGGATGTTCTTCATTTTGCATTTGTATGTATACTTCAGGCTAGATATTAAAGCTTTCAAAAATAGACATCTGGTTTAAGCCAATTTTCTGACATCTTTAAAAAGAGTCAGTGCAGAAAGAGGGGTACATTTCAGGGAGTAATTCACCCCAGTTATTTTAGGCATTGCTACTCCACAGGTGCTCTTCTTTTCCAGTGATGATAGACTAGACAATGAGTTTGAAACATGCATAGGATTTAGAAGGCCACAGTTTAAGTGAGGTAAATACTCAATCTCTTATTTTTTGTCAGCATATGTTGACTAAATATTTGTATATCTGATTTTAATGAGAGAGTTCTAGTCTTTGTTAGTTATCTTCTGAAAACTCTTGTCATCTAGGGCTTGGGTTGGGGTTTTTTGTTTGTTTTATTGTATGTTTGTTCGTTTTTTTGTTTTCCAAAATTCCTTCTTCGCTGGGAATTCTAGCACAAGCATGTGCTTGTTGGAATGGATCCTTTTATTAAGTGAGGAATATTGGAATTAAACAACTTTATTACTGCTAAAAAACTCAAAATTTCATTGAAGACAGGAATATCATTGCATCCTTCAAATTACCTTAAATGATCTTAAATAGTTGAATTTTCTCATTTAGGGTGTTGTCAGACCAACAGGTGGCTATGCAGTTATGCTGAACTGGACAATGTCAGCTGTATACGGACTCAAACCTGGTGAGGTAATTCTGTTTAAAAGTCATGTAAATTTTTTTGAACTCCTCGTAAAAACTCCCCACTATATTTATATTTTTTATTTCATTTTAGGTGTGGTGGGCGGCTTCTGATTTAGGCTGGGTTGTTGGTCATTCCTACATTTGCTATGGACCTCTCCTCCATGGGAATACTACAGTTTTGTATGAGGTATGATCCATTCTAAAAAGCCGGCCTTTGAAAAGGCAGCATCTCCTCCTGTTGATGATCCTGATGATCCTGTTTATGCCTTTCCATTCTTCATGCCATGTATATTTAAACTGTGTGTATATCTTCAGTGTTTATACTCTTCCGTCTATTATAGTAATTCATAAGAAGAACTTACTTCACTATCCTTCAAACTTGTCTACTTCATCTGTGCGACTGGTGATGGTCAGTGGGGCACGGAACTCCAAAACAGCAGACCTGAAAAAGGCAGATGGTGGAGTGTACCTGTGTGTCTGAGCCTTCAGCCACAGGCCATTAGACTACCTTTATTATGGATCTAAGAGAGGATGTTGTGTTTTGCGTGTCTGGAGATGACAAATTCTTACTGGATCTGAGTGGGAGGCAATTGGGAGCTCTATGGTTGGAGACAGAACTCTTAAGAAGACTTGTATCTTCTTTCCTTCCCCTACCACTCAAGGCACCTAGAGCCAAGACTCAGATGACGTTCAGGGCTTGGTCCTTCTCCTTGGGGAATGAAGCTTAGTGGGGTGGAGAGGAGACTAGTCCAATTAGAGTGGCCTGCTGCATCCGAACTTTGGTGCTCAAAAAGCAATCATACTGCCTTACGTTGTTATTTTTTCAGAAGTTGTTGTTGATTCTCTAATCACCAGGCAAGAAGATACAGTGTGGCTTGAACCATCTTATTTATTCTTCAGGGACTGAATCCAGTATCCATCAGCAATAGTGAAAGATGTTTTATGTAAAAGCACTGACATTGTTAGCTCTTGAGCATGCTGAGACTTGGTTGCCTGCATTCACCTTACATTAGGAATTCTGGATATATCCCAGCTTCTCCAATACTATGCAGAGTGAAGCCCACCTAGTAATTGTTCTGTCTTTTTCAGCAGTCCTAGAGGCAGAAGTTGTTTTAGCTCTGCCATTGTGGCATGCTGATCACCTCTGTTGATTTGTAGTGGTAATTAGAAACATGTGAACCATTAAAGGAAATCTAATGGTAACTCATGACAGAGCATACAAGAACTGCAAAAGTATAGTGAATGTACTGATGCTGAGGGCATGAAAAAGCACATGAAATAAGCTTTGATAACATTGTGAATATAGCAGTTGTTAGAGCACCACCTGTACCCAGTGTTTGTGGAGCAGGGAAGTCAGCATGACATGGTGGAAACATACTGGTTTACAGACCATTTCAAGTCTGGAAGTTCTGCATAAGGAAATGTGTATTATGATTAAACTTCCTCCATCTTCCTGCTAATGCACCATACAAGTGAAGATGACCATACTAGAACAGAAATGGATTGTTACTGTTTTCAGGAACAAGCATTATCACAACAATCCTTTGGTGTTTGCACAACCAGTTAAGTTGGTATTGGTTGAGATATGCTTCACTGTTATGAACTTATACACTGCTGTTGGTGGGTAGCTGGTACTGGGATTGTGCCTGAATTTTGAGTAAATATGTTTCTGAATCCTGGGGATACTGAAGAAGCATGAACAGTTGTAGTAAGGTGAGGTTGCCTCCAAAATTGTTCGGATGCCGCTGCATCAAACACTACAAAACCGACTGGTGTTTCCTGCATCCTGTTTTGAAAATTAGAAGTACACTTTACTGCTCAAAGTTCACTTCATAAACTTGTAAGCGGGATTCTCACAAGGAGAAGACACCTCTTGAAGCAAGTCAAGAATCTTCAAGTCCAGGAAAGCAATGGTTATTAGGTGTGTCTACATGATATTTCAAATGACAGCAGTTGTGCAGTTCTGAAATAAGTCCTCTGATTGTCCTTGCTTATTGATTTGGTTCACAGAGTGGGTTTAGACACATGAATGACATCTTTACAGAGAAAGCTAAGACAGAAGCTTTGCCACTAGGTATGAAAGGGTAGGATCCAATGAGTGGGACTGCACTGCTGTGAAGTTCTCTGGAGCAAATGAAAAGTACATCTGCCAACAGAAAGCTTTAAAACTGTCAAAAGCTCTCACCTTATTCTGAGGTACTTCTTGTGCTATGCAAAAGGACAAAATGCTATGTGCCTTTTCATATTTTCTAATGCCCGCCAGATGTCTGCTTGTTCTGACTTTCATCTGCTCCTTTATTTCTTCAAAGCTTTGGCTTCTATCGTCTTCACCAGCCCTATTTCTTTTGCTGTTCCTTGTTTATGAACAACATCTTTCTTATAACATGATTAAAATTATTTCTCCTTTCCTACTGCTACATCTTGCAGTAGTGACAACTGTTGCTTTGGCCTCCCAGAATATTGAGCTAGGGGCAACCTGGAGATTGACAACGTGTGCTCTAAAAGGCCCAAAAGTTTCTGCAGCAGATGCACCACCCTGTCACTAATGTCAAGCCTGCTGCCAAGTGGGAGAGGACTGACAAGTGGTGCTGCATACATTTCAAGCAGATGAAGACCATATTATTGATGAGGTGGGACAGCCATGCTTCAGAGGTGGCACAGTGCGTGTGCCCCTACCACAGAGACCTTAAACAGATTGTTGGGGAGGGGAGAGCACTCCACCAAGCCCACTGCTTATTCACAGACATTCAGGGACATCAACAGATGTCCAAGGACATCCGTACCCTTGGTCCCAGGATCAGCAGTCCCAGGACACAGTCTATGGAAAAACATGGCAATGGTGCTGCACACATCTACATGCCTGCAACCTCCAGAGGACCCCTGTGAAACAACAAGCAGGAACATCCCCTGGGCCCACTCTCTGCCATGGCAGCCAATGGGAACTGTAAACCGGTGTTCCGGATGCTTGGCTGAGTAAGTGTGCGTACTCCTTTCCTGCACATGTATTGAGTGTGAGCCTGTGTTTAGGAGGGTTCTGGTAGAATTGGGGCACCAATCGCAGAGCTGTGGAAAGGTGGTCTAAGTCTCTGGATTGACTGTGAGAGTTGCTACACCTTGAGCGATGATTCTCCAGGGGCCATGAGCTGTGAGAGAATTTCTGTGGGGCAACAAGCTCTGTCAGAGACCACTTGTCCTGTCCCAGGGGTAGGACACCGTTGGATTAACCAGGTTTGCCCAAAACAATGAATCGAATGCAGCAAGGGAGTGTGTGAGGCACACAGGTATGGAGGAGAGGAAAACCGAGGACAGAGAGAAGTATTGGGAATCAGTTCCTTTTTAATCATTGCATGACATTTGCCAGATTGAAAGACATGGATGTGCAGTGGTATTCCTCCCATCCCACTCCACGCACTCAGGAATGGTCAGTGGATTAGTGACTGTCTTCAGTGAAGGAGCAGACAAAGTTCTGACACAAGTGCATTGCTGGATGCCACACCTATGACAAAGAGAGCAGAGAACTGAGCATACGCGTACTGCAGAATCTGTGCTCAGGTTTTCAGTCTGCAGGAGGGTCTCAAAGATGTCCTCACAGATAGTTCAGACTGAAAGCGATACCCTGAATTTGGAAGGTATCGGAAACACTTGCACAGTGTCTGTTGCACGTAGCCCAGTGTCTTTCAGATGACCAAACGTAGATTGCGGTCCCATTATGCATTCAGTAAAAGCACAATTAAATTAGGCTTGTGCTGCACCGTTGTCAGAGTGTACTTTATGGTGTGGGGCACAGGGGTATGCAGTATCTCTCATGATGGCATTGAGGACATCATGAATGATCCTGTCCCTTCTTGGCAAGGAGGCACTGGCATATGTTTTGGTTCTGTGGCCAGAGATATGGAATATAGAGCCTATAGAAATTTTATGGTGGAGCCTAGTGGTGATGTTTGAACTGGCACGCTACTGTCATCTTCATGAAACAGATGAAAGGGACAGCATGATACTTCCGAGAAGAGAAGTCACTTCAGTCAAGGGAGCAAAGATCTGTAGGATAGCATTCCATCAGAAAACTCTGAGCTGCCTTTTTTTGTCCAGTGAACAAGGCTAAGTCTAGTCTAAAATAAGCCTCAGATAACATCTAATGGAAGAGGTAAAGAGCATTGGCATTAAATTGTTTGATCTACTAATCTGCTCTAATTCACCTCGTTACTTGCTATGTAAACAAAGTCTGTGGCACCATATGTGCTTGCATTCATGTTTTGTGTTATTATTTCACATGGTACTAAGTTTATTTTTACCAGTGTGTGTAGTAGGAAGAAGATTGATAATCTTTCATAGAACAGCAGACTGTGCCTAGGTGACACCTGTGTATGTTGCTTTGTACAAAATCCTGTTGTTTATAATTTTTGTAACAGAAAAATGTAAAATAAGAAACAAAATGTAATGTTTAAAAGTAAAACAAATCTTGAGGTCTTAAAAATGTGTTTTTGGAATGTGTTCTTGTCTTTGTGGTTAACTTTTAACCTTGTGGTTAACTTTTAAAAGTGTTAACCTTTTATTCTGTTCATGGAGAGATTGTGGTAGTGTGTTAAGTTGTTCTATGAAATAGAAAATGAGCTTTTGTTAGGATGTTTTTTCTTCCACCTCATTTTGTGATCTGTAGGAGCTGAGGCAAATTACTTTGTTTTTTAGCTTCTAGGCATTAGATTGATTTTTTTCAATCTCTCAGAAAATCAGGTTTGCAAAAGAAGTATTTTTTATTAAATATTAAAGTATACAAAGTGATGACAACAAGCACAAGGTTTTTTTTCCCATAAATGGCTAAGACAGAGAAGCTCACATGCTTTAATGCTCCCAGCCAATGACTGCAGCAGCTGGAGAAAACCTAAATGATTATTCTTAATTTGAATCTCAGTGTACCTTCTGTCCAGATAAAGTTTACTGACTTGCTTGCTTTCAGTGTTCAGCATGAAAGCTTGCAATGAATGCGTTACTGAAATACATGATGCAGAGAATATCTACAGTGCAACTATGGCAATAAAAATCAGCCATTAGCTGAATATTGCTTATGCTTAGCTCTTTTTTTGAAGAGTCTCCGATGTGCTTATCTGGTGGAATTCACTTGCTTCTGTGAATTTACAAACTAGCTCACTGTGGAACTTCTGAAAACTTTTGAGTCAATGACAAGTGTCA